AAACAAGAACCGCAGGTGGCGCTGTATGACCTTCGCCTTGCGCTTCCTGCTGCGAGCCTCCGCCTCGGCATTTTCGCCGACGTTGGCGCACGCGCGCGCGCGATCGGGACCCGTGTGTCACACAAGGACCGGGGGCTGCCGGTAGTCAGCGCCAAGCTGGTAAAGTGGCATCTGCGGCGGTCCTTCTTGAAGCTGTCCATCAAGGACGAGTTGGACGAATTTCCTTCGTCGAAATTCGTGATTTATGCTGACGCAGTGATGTTTGCCTCTCGTGGCTGCAGGATTTTCACCGGCCCTTGCGGATGATTTGGGTCACTGCATGTCAATATTCTAAGCCATGGGTACCCATCTGATGTTGGGCGAATGCTCGCAACGAATAGTTGCCAGCTGCCTTGGCATGGCCTTGTGCCTTGATGCACCGTATCTGGAGCCTGCCATGCAGGACCTGGCCTCTGCCCGGGCTCTCTCCACATCAGAGCGGACGGTGCTGAGGAGCTCGGAGTGCTTTTTCTCGCCCACCCGAATGATGGAAACCGGGGGGGTGGCGGCTTCGGAAGCTGCCAGGATAGGAGCCAAGCAATTCGCACTGGGCGCTGTGAAGGCGCGGACTCTGTTGGATGCTGGTGGGGCCTCGCTTTGTTTCATCAGCTTGGTGTGCCCAAGATGGGTGACTTCAAGTCGGTGTTTTTCAGTTCGCCTGCTTGAAGTCTGTTTCACTTTTTGTTCCCTGCGCGCTGCGAGCGCGCAGGTGAGCAATCGCCTGGCGCAAGATGCGCCGGAGATGGCAGGGGCTGCCGAGAGACTTCTCAGTACTTGGCCCAGGATTGCGCTTGCCGCAAGAGGTTAAGGATGTTGGTATTGGGCAGGGCCATCTTTAGTATTTTGGGAAGGGGGCTTGCCAGAGTTGGCCATTTCAGAGTGGGATTCCTGTAGATTTTCATGATCATCACTTTCACGTTTTTAATTCTTGGGAAGATGAAGAATAGGGTCAACAAGGACAAGCCACATGAGCCACATCATGGTTTCTGGTTCACTTCAGTCACTTGCCCGGGCATTGCAATGAGGTGATGCACGCACAGTGGTTTCTGAGCTGGAGGCGGCCGTGGTGGCTCCTTGGCGCACATCGCAAGCTGAGGGAGCCGCACTGCACAGCGGGACCTAAGGCCAAACCGGGAGCGCACCATGTGTGGAACGACCCATCCGCACAAGCCCCGGCATTTGGAGTTGGCTCTGCCAGTTGCCAGTTGCTGTCTCACAGCCTCGCCCTTACGCTTTTGCTACGGTAGGTCTTGCCTGTGCTGGACCTACAGAGTGGTGCAGAGGCTGGGCTCTCTGGCTCGTGTGGGCGGCTTTAGGCCTGCCTTTTTTATGTCATTCGGGGTCTCCTCATAGGACCAGCAACCGGAAGCCTGGGGTCTCCACCCCTTCTTCGAGCGGCTGCTGCGCACGGACGTGAGCCCTGGGGCTGCCACTGGGGTGTGCGGAGCCCGGCTTGGAGGTAGGTCCAGGGGTTCTTCGTTGAGGTTGCGCACGTGAGGCCGCTTCTGGTGCCCATTAACCTCATGCAAGTTCCCACCGTGGTGAAGGATTTGGACGAGGCGCGCAACTGGCGCGCGCTTGGCTTCCGCGCGCTTGGCGCGCTGTGTGGGCGTTCGATCCGGTGGCGTGAGGCCCATCGAGCCCTGCAGCTCTGCGAGATCCTTTGCGCCAAGTTGGCCTTTGTAGGCACGGGCGTGCAGCGCAAGTGGACGGAGATGTGTCCAGTCGAAATGCTTCACGCAGGTCCGTTGATGTTGGGCCTTTGGCCCGCCGGCTGTTTTGCATCAGCTGCTGGTTACCTTGGATAGGCAACCGCAAACGAGCTAACCCTCTCAAGGAGCTGTTTCTTGAGTGATTTGGTTGACTTCCAACCGACCCCTTCTTGTTGCTCCAAGCTCTTTTTTCCAATTGTCAGTGTTGCTCTTAAAGAACTACTTTCAATATACTTTTCTGCCGCTTGCCTGCAGCTTCCCAATGCTCCCCGCTGCTTTCCACTCTTCTCCTTTCGGCTAGTTTCCATTTGCCTTGTTTGGAACATAGCACATTCTATTTGGGAGTCTCCACAGAGCACATCGATTTTGGTCAATATGAGCTTTGACGTATGACCCTCTTGCTGAGGTTGTTTGCTGATGATATATTGACAGTGATGGCATTGTCTTCTGACTCGTTGATTGTTTGCCGACGTATCTATTTTGTATGTTGTTCCATTGAGCTCCAGAGATATTATGCACTTTGCACGGCACAGACGTTCACCAGAAGCAGCAGCCTTGCGGAGGCAAAGAGCGGTGCAAGTTTTCTCCGTATCTCAGAGTGTCTCTGCTGCAGCATGCTCACTCCTCAGTGAAAGTTGTGGCATGGATGCCTGTGTGCCGGAGTGGGGTCGAGGTGTTCACAGAGCTCGTGCCGCTACCTTTGGGCGGCCGCCTCATCAGAAGAGAACGGCTGAGAGCCGCAGGATGACTGCTGTGACACATAGCCCAAGGCAGACGGATGCCAGATGTTAGCCAAACTTCTAGACGACCAGCAAATTGACGTGTATAGAGAGCTGAAGGACTAATGAATAGGGAAGCCCCCGTTTCAAGCTTTTTCCTGCAGGATCATCAGGCATGTTTTTGGCTTAGCAGGTGGGTGCACTATGCTTCCCTGAGCTCTTTTCCCTTCAGCATGCCTCAATGGCAAGTGCATCAGGGGTGTGGTTGCAGCGTTTGTTAGCACCTAGTGAGAAGTAGGACATTCGAGATATGTTGGTAGTTGGTTGGCTCATTGTTTGGACAGCTCTTTTGGCTTGGGGCTGTCCCATGACCCGATGGACACGATTGACCCGGTGAAGATTTTCAGTCGCAGGCCCAGCCACGCAGAAGGCGCCGCTGAACCTGCGTGACCACATTTGGGCACCCGAAGGCTCAATCCCTCCGCGAGTGGGCATGGGATGCTGACGGGAAACAGCGGACACACACACACACACACACAGAGACACACTTGTGGTACTTCCCAAGAGAAAGGTAGATTCATGCTGCCTGATTTGTTCCGTCATCTTGCACAAGCTTTTTGCGAAAGCGAACACATGCCTTTGCGAAGAGGGACACGCCTCATAGCTCGTACATGTTCATGCACAACGCAAGGCCAGGTGAGTCAGATGAAACTGTGCGAGCAAAAGCAAGGTATAGAAGCCACAGCGAACACATCATCACTTTCTCCGAATGGGGAACCGGCGGCTGAAATCAACATCACGCATTTTCAAAAAGGTAGACGTGGGCGATGGGCCCACTCTTGCCTCACCATTCTACAGCTTCGTTGCGTTGCACAAGCACGAATACACACACACACACACCCACCCACCCACCCACCCACCCACCCACCAAGCAACCCGTCCGCACCCCCCGACCCACCCCACCCACCCACGCACTCACCCAAGCATCCACGACGCACCAACGCACCCACGCGCCCACGCGCCTACGCCCCGCCGCACCCACGCATGCACGCACAGGTGCTCGCATTCACGCACTCTCGCACCAGGCACGCGCGTGCCCAAAAGTCATAGACGCAACCACGCACAGGAGCGCACGCGGATATAAGCAGGAATATGAGCACAAATGTGGTCACCAATGCGCGCTTGCACGCACGCACGCATGCACGCGCGCGTTCGCGCGCCTGAGCGGGCGCCCTGCGCCCTGCCTACCCGTTCGCACTCGGGCGCTCACGCCCGCTTACACGCACTTGCGCTCGCGCGCCCGCCCGTGCGCCCGCCTGTGCGCCAGCACGCGCAAGCACGCATTCAAGTGAGCGAACAACAGACACACGAGAATCGTGAGACCAGGCGCGATACGCGCAAGACACGCGAGGCGCACAAGACACACAAGACGCAAGCCAGGCGAGACACGCAAGACGCACAAGACACAAGGCGTACAAGACAGGCGAGACACACAAGATGCAAGGCAGCATGGCGCACAAGCCACACGACACGACACGACACGACACGACACCACACGACACGACACGACACGACACGACACGACACACCACACCACACCACACCCACACCCACACCCACACCCACACCCACACCCACACGCACACGCACGCGCACACGCACACGCACACGCACACGCACACGCACACGCACACGCACACGCACACGCACACGCACACGTATACGCACACGCACACGCACACGCACACGCGCACGCGCACGCGCACGCGCACGCGCACGCACACGCGCGCGCACGCGCACGCGCACGCGCACGCGGACGCGACTACGTGTGCACACACGCGCACATTTCACACACATACATAAGTTCTGGAGGCGTATTACTGTTCTTTCCTTGGCAGAACGTATCCAGGTGTCGGTGGCTTTTGACAAGATTCTTGCTTGACTTGCTTCATTTGTTTTGTTTTAGGATCATTGCAGGCTAGCACTGTCAGGTTGGGATGCAGTCCATCCGCAGATGACCAGGGCTGGTCAGCTGGTCGACCACTGAGCTGTGCATGTGGTTGGTCTTATATGCTCTCGAATGACATGACAACGACGCAGGAACTGCTGCTGATTCTCAGACGTTTGGCGGAGCACTTTGCGGCGGCTTCATGCACCCTCGCCTCCAACAAAGGCCACTTGTAGGTTTCGTATGTTGCTTTTCCCCCCACCCCTTTGCGCTTGCGGAGGGCCTTGCGATTTGCGTGAGGCTTCGACGCAACAAAGATCACCGTCTTTGGCGCCATCGCAAGCATCGCAGACAGAGTTGCGAGAACCACGGCGCCGATCTCAACAAGGAAATCAAGTGACTTGGTTTCTTAGTTCGCGACACTTACCCTGCTGAAGAGTGAGGTGCGAAGATCTAGAGACGTCGGGGCTGAAGAGGGCCCGCTGTGTTCTCAGCTGCCGGCCATGACGTGCAGGGAGCAACATCATCAGAGTGAGGTCCGCCCTCACCGAAGCCATGAATGGCAAGCTTGGGCAACGCCCTGTGGCCGTGGATCCCAACACATTCCTGGTGCAGCCCATTCCTCGGATCTTCTGCATGTCGCGGACCTCTATGTTTCGGTTTGGGTTTTTCGCTGGGATGGTCAGGTCGGAGACCATCGAGACTGCGGCTCCGGAGCTGAATTTGGCCACTCGGCTTGCGGGTTCTCACGGGCATTCGACTGTCACCGAAGCAGGGAGAGCTGCGATGTGAAATTCGCCCAGGCGCGCACGGCGATTTGTGCTTACTTCTGCGGCTTGGATGCAACGCTGATTTTTGGCTTCTGTCGCTTGCTGTGAAGGAAATTGGCGCGTTGTCGTTTTTGGTTCCGGAAGGAAATTCCTGCGCGTGCTTTGTGGTAGGTGAAGTGATGAGCCACTATGAAATCAAGAAATTGAAGGACTGGCGCTGGATTCTTTTGCCAGCACGTCAGAGCCGTTCCCTTTGAGGACGAGACCATGTTCGACTGGGACACCTACGGTGCCAAGCATACTTGACTTTGAAGGTTTGCAATCATAATTCTGATGTCGCTTGGCAAGCTGCCAAGTAAGGATGGATGATGTACGTCGAGCGCGAAAAGGGTCTGGAGCGAGTTGTGTGGGCAGCTCACCCTTCTGGCCTGTGCAATTGTTCACTTCATATGGTTTTTGAGGAAGCAAATGTGCGCCAAGCACCTTCTTGAGACTGGCAAGGACAGTGCTGTCAAATGTGCAAACACAGGATCTCATCAAGTCATTTGACCATAAGGATAACCGGCATCCAGTCAAAACATATTGTGAATTGTGGCAGCTGCGTGCCAACTTTGTGGGATTCTATCGTCGTGCGGGTACTGTTGCAGACATCATGTAGCAACTGGCAGCTAGCCAGGATTGGGGCAAGCTCGTTGCTGGTCACCAGTCGGAGAATGCTTACCTGGTCGGTGCTCACAGTCGCTTTGAGACGGGGCCCCATTCTTTTACCCGCGTTTTTCGAGGTTCGGACCTGGCCTGAGTTTGCAGCGTTGCGGGACATCATCTTTTTCTGGAAGTATTTCCTCTGCAACGGCCTCAGTCTGGAGCTTGCTGGTGCTCAGGGAATGAGCCATGGAATGAGCCCAAGAAAAATCATCCGATGCCTATGTTTTTTCCCCAGGTTCATTTTAATTCTTTCCCTGCCGATTTCAATGGAATGACCCCAAGAAAAACAATCCGGTTCCTCTGGTTTGCTAGGGAACCCCCAGGTTCTGTCGCGCCAAGGGGAAAGACCCAGGTTTTTTTGCCTCCGTCAGATCCGCTCAGGCACTGACTTGCGCGTCTTCCCTGATACGAGCAACTGGCCGCTGCAGGCTCGAGCTCTGGATGTTTTTCCCCCGCGAATGCAAGAGAAATGACATGCAGTGTGTGTCTATGTGTGTGTGTGTGTGTGTGTGTGTGTGTGTGTGTGTGTGTCTGTGTGTCTGTGTGTCTGTGTGTCTGTGTGTCTGTGTGTCTGTGTGTCTGTGTGTCTGTGTGTCTGTGTGTCTGTGTGTCTGTGTGTCTGTGTGTCTGTGTGTCTGTGTGTCTGTGTGTCTGTGTGTCTGTGTGTCTGTGTGTCTGTGTGTCTGTGTGTCTGTGTGTCTGTGTGTCTGTGTGTCTGTGTGTCTGTGTGTCTGTGTGTCTGTGTGTCTGTGTGTCTGTGTGTCTGTGTGTCTGTGTGTCTGTGTGTCTGTGTGTCTGTGTGTCTGTGTGTCTGTGTGTCTGTGTGTGTGTGTGTGTGTGTGTGTGCGTGTGTATTTTTGTTTGTTTGGTTTTGTTTGGTTTTGTTTTGTTTGTTTGTTTGTTTGTTTGTTTGTTTCTGTGTTTGTTTGTTTGTTTGTTTGTTTGTTTGTTTGTTTGTTTGTTTGTTTGTTTGTTTGTTTGTTTGTTTCTGTGTGAGAGGCAGAGAGCTCTTTCGCGGTTGGCCTAAGGCCGCCTACCTGGCCTGGAACGTCGCCAATGAAAGCGAGGTGTTTGGACCGCCGACCAACCGAGGCGTGCCTTGGCTGGAGCTGCCGTTACAGCCACCCCAAAGAGTCAGGCAACCCTCACTTGGTGGTTTGGATTGGCGGTTTGGGGATTTGAACCCTTGGTTCTTGTCACCCATCCAAACCATGAAAACCACCCAAAGCATCCAAACATGAGAACCATCCAAACCCCCAACACCCCCCAAACCACCCAAACCACCAATCCAACTCACCAATGAGGGGCCGCTCAACAAGCTCCGAGGCCATCTTCCAGGTTAGTGCCTTTGGCCCTCGCCTCAGCTGACCAGTCAGGTCCAAGAGGGTCGTGTGAGATGGCCATGGCCATCTCAGGCAAAGAGCCATTCAGGTGTTTTGCAGATGGTGGATAGGTTTGTTGTCTGGGTTTTGTAGATGGGTTTTGTAGAGCCATTCCAAGAGGATCTGTTGCCTTTCTTCTTCTTTTTTGCCAGCAGCAAGGCGCCCAAACATTTTTTTGTTGAGATAGAGGTGTCTTCCGAACTTAGGCCAGGATCATGTGCTCAAGACGAACGAGCCCAACTACAGGCGGACCTGATATCTTTGCTTGCTCCGGCTGTTGGTGACAGAGGCCGAAGCCGTCGGCTAGTGGCCACCGCTATGCCAGCGCAGCCCTCGCATCCAAGTGCGCCTGACGCTCCAGATATCGTGTCTTACGCGCTGTAAGCTCGGCTCTGTGAGACTGGCTGGCTTCGGTTGGGCTGAGCTGCGGAGTCTGGGCTGGACTGGGAGTGACAGGGGCTAGGGCAGGGCTGGTTGGCCTACAAGTGTTCATGCCTGAACTGCATTGGGATCGAGTCCGGGAGGGCTGGGGGTGTGGGGAGGGCTTTGGGTGGCAGGGAGCACAAGTTGGAGAGAAAAGCAACCCTCGAAAAGCTCCCAAATCGCAAGCTCAACCGCCAATCTGCAGCCGAAAGACAGGGACTTTCGTTGCGTGCATGAGGTACACTGGCCGAGCTGTGGTCCGAACAGAGGATGACCTGCCCGATTCCTCAGAGGAATAATTGGAGCTTGCGGATGTATTACAGCGCTGACAGTGCGCGAGCAAGGCTGTACCTTCGCTCGTTGCCTACATTTGAGGCAGGCAGCACTGCAATTCGTTGCCCCGTGCTGCAACTGTAGGAGTGCACTCCACTGTAAATGACAAACAAAGCAGGGATGATGTTCAGACCCCCCCACTACACCAGGACAGAAGGACAGCTGCATATTTTGCACGCATGTACCGGCATGTGCGCACATGTGTGCGCACACGCAACTGCATGCCTGCATGTGCAAACACTGGCAACCGGCCGTACATGAATTCTCACACATGCCAGTACGCATGCGTGCATCAAGCTGTGCAAAGACGTGCAAACTTGCACACATCATGCATACACCTGCCTCTTTGCTTGCTTTTGGCGGATCCCTTCTTGTTCTGGAAACCAACCTCGGCCACTTTGGGTGCAGAGGGCCTCTGGCCGCCCGCGGTTCGCCAGGACAGGCTGCGGCCCTCGGATTCTGAGGCCTTGCTGTCCTTCCTGACGGCCAGGGCCCAGAGTCGGAGTCGGGGGAGTCTGGAGCTGGAGCGAAAATTGCTTGGTGACCCCTTTGAAGGGCACCCAACATGATGCTTGTTTTGCTTGGTTTCCCCTTGAAGCCATGGTGAAAAGGCGATCCTCAAACCAGCACGGAAGATAGCTTTCGCTTCCTTGGGACTTTCTTCTGCTACTTGTCATCGCATGTCACGGGGAATGATCGTCCCCTAATCACCTGCTTGATCCCATGCCCAGTTGAATGACTCGATTACCGTTTCAGTCACGATGCCATGGAAGCAGACATGCTGTGCAGTTTTGACGGTCTTTGATCCGATTCGGTCGGTATATTCAAGGTTCCGTACATCCGCATGCGCCGTGCTCAGCATGCCCGTAGATGAGCGGAAACAGTCAGAAAAGCGAGAGAGAGAGAGAGAGAGAGAGAGAGAGTCTTCAAGGCCTTTGATGCTGTCGTTCTTCACATCTGCAGATCGCGCCCTGCTCTCTGCCGGATGAGACTTGCGAACTTGCGAGTGAGAGCAGTCAATCCGCATCCAATCACTGGCCTGAGTGGCGCAGAGCTGCAGGTCAACTGCTTGTTCAGCGATACGCCCGGCAGCCCCAGTCATGGGCTGTTGAGACCCTCGGAGGATTTCTCGTTCTCTCCTTGCATCCCTCCATTGTGAGCTTCGCTGCTTTGGGGCCGCGAAGCTCGGCGATGTGCGTCGATCCGAGTCTGCGCTCCATCCTGCACGCGGTGGTGCTGGAGCCAGGGAAGTTCCTCATGCCTGGACGTTGGAACGAGCACCTTGGAGGCATACGGTTGTGGGTCAAACCTAAGGTGCTTGTTTGTGGTTGGTTACCACTGTACTGTACTGTTGTCTTTTTAGAATGCTTTCTGGGTGTTCACTGGGGCACCGGGGTTTTGACCCATGGCCATACTTTTCCGAAGAAAGCTCGCCCTTTGCGGCGAGAATGACTGGAGCAAGTCTGTGCCTCGAGCGCGTCTTCCCCCGCACTTTGAGCCAAGGTGCCCGCAAATGGTGCCGGCAGCCAGCGCTGCGGAGGCGGAGCGCGCACGAAAGGCCTTGCTGTTGAGTGCAGCTTTGTCTTAGACTTCAGGCAGAGTTGCTGGCCACACCATTCGGGCAGCCAGATACCCGTTGTCTTGTCGACATGCGGTATTCCGCCACGTGTTTTGCAGTGTTTCCCGAGCTGAGGCTTCTGACGGAGCTTTCCTGCTCCCCCAAAATGCCGTGGGAGACCCAGTTGCTCCCATCGCGCCCGGGAAATGGAGTTGACCTTAGGCTGTCGCTCTCTGGCCGTTTGCTGGAGCTCGTCTCGGCCTCATTCCCCCTCACGATCGGATCCAAAACTCATGTTTTCCAGCGAAGAAAAACCGCGGCCGATCACCTGAGAAGGAGTCAGCCGCTTAGCGTGAGGCACTGGTCTTGGCCAACTCGGTCACCTCCGACACGGTCGGGGTGGTCCTCTTTGCCGTGCGCGTGGCGGCTCGCCGGAGCCTCTGTTTGCACGCTTGTTTCATCACATGACATAGCTTCGCGCAATTTGGGCTCATTTGTGAACATGTATTTTGTGTCCCCCCTTGAAAAGGGCCATCCCTCGGCTGTTGTTCTTCACACCTGCCTTTGTGTAAGCGTGTGTAAGTGTGTGTAAGTGTGCACAAGTGTGAAATGCGTGTAATTGTATAAAAGTGTGTGAAAGTGTATAAGTGTGCAAGTGAGTAAGTTTGCAACTGAGTAATGGTGTGTGAGTGCGAAGTGTGTAAGTGTGAGCAAGTATATGCAAGTATGTATGTGTGTGTGAGGGTGTGTGTGAGGGTGTGTGTAAAAGTGTGGGCAAGTGTTGTGGGCAAGTGTGTGCGTGTGTGTAAAAATGTGTGTACATGTGTGCAAGTGTGTGTATGTGAATGCAAGTAAATGTGTGTGTGTAATTGTGTGTAACTGTGTGTCATGCAAGTGTGGATAAGCGTGTGTAAGTGTGTAAGTGAGTAAATGTGTATCTAAGTGTGTAAGCGTGAAAGAGTGTGTCCGTGTGTAAATGTGTGTGCGTGTGTGTGAAAGTGTGTGTGAAAGTGTGTGCGTGTGTGTGAAAGTGTGTGTGAAAGTGTGTGTGTGTGTGTGTAAGTGACTGTAAGTGTGTGTAAGTGTGTAAAAGTGTGTGTGTGTGTGAAAGTGTGTGTGTGTGTGTGTGAAAGTGTGTGAAAGTGTGTGAAAGTGTGTGAAAGTATGTGTAAGTGAGTGTAAGTGCGTGCAAGATTTTGTAAGTGTGTAGGTGTGTGTAAGTGCGTACGTGTGTAAGTGTGTATAAGTGTGCAAGCATGTGCAAGTGCGTGTAAGATTTTGTAAGTGTGTAGGTGTGTGTAAGTGCGTACGTGTGTAAGTGTGTATAAGTGTGCAAGCGTGTGTAAGTGCGTGTAAGATTTTGTAAGTGTGTAGGTGGGTGTAAGTGCGTACGTGTGTAAGTGTGTATAAGTGTGCACGCCTGTGCAAGTGCGTGTGAGATTTTGTAAGTGTGTAGGTGTGTGTAAGTGCGTACGTGTGTAAGTGTGTGCAAGTGTGCAAGAGTGTGTAAGTGCGTGTAAGATTTTGTAAGTGTGTAGGTGCGTGTAATTGCGTACGTGTGTAAGTCTGTACAAGTGTGCAAGCGTGTGCAAGCGTGTGTAAGTGTGTGTAGGTGTGTGTAAGTGTGTGTAAGTGTGTGTCTGTTTGTGTGACAGTGTATGTATGTGTAAGTGTGCAGGTGTGTACAAGCGTGTACGCGTAGATGTGTGTAAAAGTGTGTGTATGTGAAAGTGTGTAAAAGTGTGTGTAAGTGTGTAAAAGTCTGTCTGTGTGTGTAAGTGCGTATAAACGTGTGCGTAAGTGTGTGTAAGCGTGTGCAAGCGTATCCAAGATGTCGTCAGTGTGTATGTGTGTGTGTGTGTGCAAGTGTGTACATGTGTGTGTGTGTGTGTGTGTATCTATAGGTGTGCGTATGTGTGAGTGTGTGTAAGTGCGTACGTGTGTAAGTGTGTAGAAGTGTGCAAGCGTGTGTAAGTGCGTGTAAGATTTTGCAAGTGTAGGTGTGTGTGTGTGTAAGTGCGTACGTGTGCAAGTGTGTAGAAGTGTGCAAGCGTGTGTAAGTGCGTGTAAGATTTTGTAAGTGTGTAGGTGTGTGTAAGTGCGTACGTGTGTAAGTGTGTATAAGTGTGCAAGCGTGTGTAAGTGCGTGTAAGATTTTGTAAGTGTGTAGGTGTGTGTAAGTGCGTACGTGTGTAAGTGTGTGCAAGTGTGCAAGAGTGTGCAAGTGCGTGTAATATTTTGTAAGTGTGTAGGTGTGTGTAAGTGTGTATGTGTGTAAGTGTGTATAAGTGTGCAAGCGTGCACAAGTGCGTGTAAGATTTTGCAGTGTGTAGGTGTCTAATTGGGTCTTTTGTCTGAGCCTTTTCAGGTGTGGAATCTGCCACTTCGCTGCTGTTGCGCGCCCACAGCGGCGGCATCACCGCGGCCCCCGCATGCGATTTGCTAGTGGGTGACTGTTTCTTTGTGCCCGCCTAGTCGCAAAGCGAGTGCCTTGAAAAGAAAAGACGAGGTTTCGGGCCGTTCATTTCTTGAGCTAAGTTTCCTTGCCAGTCCTCGCCGCTGCTGGCGGCATCTCTGAACATGAGCGAGCCCGGGAGCCTGATGCGGAGAGTGGATACAGCGAACTGGGGAGGAGGTGGTTGTTGTGGGTTTCCTTGTGGCCAACCGAAGGAGTTGGTTTTCATCATGTCAGACATGGGTATGGGTCAAAACTAAACAACCAGGGGACCGCAGGTTTTAGTCCCTCTTTCCATTTACCAGGGTTCTATTTGGGGTATCTATTTTTGACCCACAGCCACATGGGTGCATGCAGCCTTGTGGTCGATCCTGGACCAAGCCAGTGATGAACGAGACAGTCGCTGAGCCGACAGGAGTGTCCTGGCCGAATTGCGGTCTGGCAAGCAGTACTTGAGCGTGGGAGCTCAGACCGTTGGGGGGGACATGTCATGCCTTGTCGCGCAAAAGGTGTAAGCAAACTGAATGTTTGGGACCTGGCGCCATCGCCCTCCGCGATTTTTTGCTCCGCAAACTGCCAGCTCGTTTGACCGCACTCGGGTGAATGGGAAGCTCATCATCAAAGTCAATGACGGCGGAGCTGGTGGGAAAGGAGGCCCCAGACTTCGAGATGGAGCTGGAGAGCGGCGAGAAGAAGACGCTGAAGCAGTTTGTGGGGGAGGGGAAGGCTGTGGTCATCGACTTCTACGCCAACTTCTGACCTGCTTGTGGTCCCGCTGCTACTGAGATGGACAGTCTGGCTGAGGCGAATGATGGCGTCACCTTCCTGCTGGTGAACCTGCGTGGCATGGGCGACGCCCAAAGCTACAAGACAAGCAAGGGCCTGAAAAGCGCCAAGCTCATCCATGCAGCAGCGCGGCCCCCAGACAGCTATGGACTCAAGTACATCCCCCACAAGACCATCATTGGGAAGGACGGCAAAGTTGTCAAGAACTTTGATGGTGTCAACTTGGCGTCCGACATTAAGGACCTTTAAGAGATTTTAAGAGTTTGAGGTCCTTCGACATGTTTGGCATCCTCAGCTCTGTCCGATGAGCGGGGCAGAATTCCACAGGAGACTCCAATTTCGCCAGTCAATTGACGAGCGCTCAAAATGTTTGAGGCAGCTTCTGAACGGCTTGCGCGGCCCTTTCCACCTCCTGCTCCGCCCGCTCAAAGCAGATGCTGAACTCTGTACAGGGGATGCCCTGCCATTCTGTTTTAGAAAGGGGCGTGATCGTTGAGCCTCTGAGCTGCCTGCTGTGAAAGCCTGCTCTCGAAGTTCTTTCTTTGCATGATTCGCTTGTGGCACGAGCTTGCCGTGTGTTGGCCTGTGCAGCTCCTTTCCAGAGCGGCCAGTTGCCAGAAGAGTGACGCCTCGCCATACACAATTGCGACAAGGGAGGATTCTAAGCTGAAGGACTCTGTCCCGCTCAAGATTGTTCGCAAGTTAAAGCGGGTAGTCAGTTTGTTTGTAGCAAAGGGACACCAAAAGGACCCCCCTCAGGTTACCCCGACTTCCCAACCACCAATCCAAACCACCAAATTGGACAAGGTTCCCCTCTTTTGACCCCCACAAAAAACCTCAGAACAGCGCCCTCAGAAGGCGCAGGCCATGGGCCCATGGCGCGCACGGCCCCCGTGTGGACCGTGCGGGCGCAGCTTTTGGCCAAGCTCCGGCCCTTTGGGCAGGGCCAGGCGGCCAGGGGCTGAGACGGCGACGACTCCTCCGCGCCGCGTGTTGGTTTGTGGGGGAGGAGTCGCCACCCAGAAAAGCCGCCGGCAAATGGAGGGGTAACCGCCCACCAAGTGTATGGGTAGACTGACTTTGGCGGACAAAGCACTTTTTGTTTAAATAAATGTTGGGAGCGGTTCGCCGAAAGACAATTGTAAATGGATGGGTTTCCGTGTTGGCGGAAAAGACCAGGGGATTCCTCTATGTTGAGTGGGCGGATAAAACAGGTTTGTGCGGAATGAGGGGACTCCGGCCTTTCGGTGGCCGGCTTGCCAGAGCGGGAGAGAAACGGGGCGAAGGGATTTCAGAAATTTGCTTGAAGAACCACCTTGAACCAGAGGATTTCATTCGAGCGTCAAAACAAGCTGGGACAAGCCACGCAGCGTCAAGGCTGGCAAAGCTCCTCCTGAGCTGCTGCCGGAGGCGAGTGATCCCTCACCTCGCATGATTTTTTTAGCCATGCCCTGCAGACCTCAGCTGGCACACTGAACGCCCAAATTTGCGGAGGTCTTTTCTTCGGAGCATTGGACTGTTCGATCCTTTGAGAGAGCCATGACCCGAACCTTACATTCGCTGTGCCAGCTCTTTCGCCATGCCCGGGGGCTGTCGCCGGCGGACCTCCGGCTGGTGCTGGCTGCCTATGCCAGGAGGGGTTTCGCTCGCTTCGGTTTCTGCATGTCCCAAGTTTGGAGAGTCGAACGGGCGAGCTTGGAATCGAACGTGAGCCCGAAGAGGTGTCCTTCCCGGCCTATCTGAGCGTTTTGCGTTTCGAGCCGGGGGCTTTTATAGGATGGGCTTGCCACCTTGGGGGGGGGCATGCAGACCTAGAGCCTCTGTTGCAGCCAAGAAGCCTAAAGTACCCAAAATGAAGGTTACAAAATAGGCCCTAAGTGTTCATCATACCGGGGGGGGGGGGGCTCGGTGCCATGCCAGGACTGAGAGCCCAGGCAGTGCGGAGGGTCAGCTGACCGTACTGCAGCTTCAGGACAGCGCCACGAGAGCGGCAGATCGCCTGCGAAGCCCCAAGGTTTCAGGGTATGTGGGAAGGATCCACTTGGCTGTGGCTCAAAAAATGATGCCCCCACCCGTCGGGATACATGGGGGTTGATCAATATTCTTGGCCCCCTTATGGCATTTAGTGGATGACATCTCATCTTTTGGTGGTTTTCCAACCAATGGTCATTCCATGCTTTACGGAGCTTTTGACCAACCCCCGCTATGGAAGAGTCTTTTGGTGTAGCCAAGCAATACGTCGGAAGCTGTCGCGAGGACCTCTTGGTGCAGCTCCTGGTGGGTGGCTCGCGGCTGGGCACCGCTGTGCAGCTGCTGGAGGCTGCGGAGGCAGTGGCCGCTTTCGCCCCCTGCGCCTTGGAATCGTGGCCGGGGGGGCTGGGAGGCCATGGGGGGTCTGCGCATGAGACTAAGTGGAGTCCAATTCGGAATTCAACTAAACTTCTGAAATGAATCAAAGTACCATGTGTGCAACTCGCTGAAATCACCTACGACAGGCAACATTGCAAAAGCATCATATCTTGTAATTACACACCGCGGACAAGATCTCGGCCATGTGTGCCAGCTCTTCTTGAACCCAACACCTTCTCCAAATGACCAAGCAGACTTGAGCCGACCGAAAGACGTTACATCTTCCATTCAGCCGCGCGCTGGCCCGACCGAGAACGCAAAGCACCAATGCCACTCCTTCGGCGAAGGAAGCCGTGCAAAAGACACTCATAAGCGAGCTGAAGCTTAGGACAGGCAATTCGGGAACTCAAGCCCACATCAAAGCAGCAGAGGCTCCCATGTTGTATTTGGTGTAGAATTCTGATTTAGTTCCACTTAGAAGACTTAGATTCAAGCTCTTTGCAAAGACAATCTATTTGTGACAATGTTAGCTCAGAGCAGTTCTTAAGTAACGAAGCTGCAACCGGATAAATAGGGTCTTAACAGAGCGATCCGCACAACAGGTTCTTTTGGTTGAAACCGGCGCGGGGAACGACTGATTCAACGGGGTAGATGAACAGCAAACGCCTCGCAAGGTAGCAGCCTTCCAGCCGCGGAGCCTGGCACTGAGCGAACAGATTCATCCTGGTCGTTATGGGCGATTTGGGGATTTGAACCCTCATGTGTAGAGGGTAAGTGGGAAAGCCGGAAAGCACCCCTGACCACTAAACCGGCAATCCAAACCACCAGTTGGTGGGAGGAGCTATAGCCCAATTCTTTTTGAGGGGCAGTTGGACCGGGGCGCCAGGCGGCTCGGCCCGCGGCCTCGCGGCCCGTGGCTTTCGCTCGCTCGGGGCCCAGGTTTTGGCCCAACTTCGCGGAGCGGGTGAGCCGCTTGGCGACATCCCAGGGCCTGGACGGCGGGCACATGGCGCGGGCGGGGGGGCCTGGAGGGCCGTTCGGGCGGGTCGGGCGGCTGAAGCCGCAAGCACGGAGGCGGTGGAAAGATGCGCGGAGGGATTTACCACAGAAGTCACGTTACTTGCGGGTCGCAGCCATCCCCTTAGCTTTAGTGTTTAGTAGGGCAGCCTGGTTTTTGCCGTTTAATTTCCGCGCAAAAGGGCACCCCACTTCACCTACCGGCAAGGAGATGCCCTGTAAGCTCATGCAAGGCCCCGATGCCACGCCGAAAAAGCTAGAGGCCTACCGGATGCTTAGTTTCATCCTAACTGGGGGCGCGTACCAGAGTAGCACAATGCAGCACCAGTCCATCTTGCTAGTGGCTCACTTGGCGCAGTTTACTGCTGGTTTCGACGCGGCTTAAAGAACTCATTTCACCTGCTTAGAACTCATGACCTCTTTTCAAACCAGAGGCTTGCCATGCATGACATCAGATGCGTATGCCTTTTCAAGACTCGCAAGCTTGTATGCATACCAGGACAACTATATATACAGTAAATACCTTGCCCTTACATAAGTGGCTGGCTATACATATTATATATATATATATCTAGTGGCGTCAGTGGATCCTGAGGGGATATTGATTTGCGTCTCTCCTCTAGGTGTTTGGGGAATCCACCGCCACAAGATACAAGTCTGAATTTGGGGAGGCAAACGGCTGGTGGAATTCTGACCGATGCATTGTTAATGCTTGAATCAGAAAGCGCGCTCTTCTGGGAGGTCTTTGCTGCCTGCGCGCAGTGGAAAAGAAGATGCCATGCTGATGGCGCACATTGGGGACACATGCTCAGCAGCTTGGTGCAAAGCATGGCTTTGAATCTATGGAAAGGCTCCATCCAAGGAACAGTTGGAGGCAGACTAGCAGAAGAGGAGAAGATGAAGGACCTTGGCCTGGCAGAGGCAGTGTCATCGTTGCCATTCGCTGCATTGACAAGATCTATGGCTCAGATTCAGATACTAAGACAGATGGGTGTATGACAAGCCGTTTGCATTCTCACCGTCTCATTTCCCGTTACTGAATACTGTGTGATCTGTCTTCAAGGCACAGGCAGATGGTATGCTATGATGAAGGCACACACACACACACACGCAAACACTAATATTATGTATATACACATGTATGTATGTATGGATGTATATCTGAGTCGGGTGACATATTTGCGAAGAAATGGACTGATCTAGGCTGAACCAACAGGAGAACCAATTCAAATTATTGTTTGGTATTCTGTATGTTTTGGTTAGTGTCAATCATTCACTGTGTGTTGGGATTCACAGACAAGTAG